GTCAAATGTTCTGACCAAGCAGTTAAATTTTTGAATTGTGTTATGTAAATGTGATTAAAATTTCTTTTTTTATTATTCACAGAATCCCTTGAAAATAGTTGTTAGCAAAGTGGAAGAAACTCATAACGAGTATATGCTTGACTTCAAACATTCTTTAAGAATTACTCAAAATTTCACAAATTATATCAGCATTAATGTCTCATTGTTTGTGAAATTAGACTCAACGTACTTGATTGAAGATTGATGCCATACGCAATAACCAAAATCAAAATTGTTATTGTAGTCGACATAAAAACAAAGATCAAAGGGGAAATGGTTGATTTAGGCAATTTGACGATTCATTATGAAGTTGAAGCTCTTGAAATAGTAAACATTGAATGAGGAGAAGTTAATTTTAATTTGTATTCAGTATTTCTAATTTAAAACATTTCCTTCACGAAGTTAAACTTGAATTTCAAACTTTGGTCTGATTCTTACTTAAATTAATGATGAATATGGGATTTAAAGAGAAATTGAGTTCTTGATAATAAAAATAAATTACTTTGCATTACCCAAACTTTTATTGATAAGAAAATTTATTTTGAGAAGTTTCAAACAATCCTTATAAATATTATCTTAAAAATTTTTATCATTATTTGAGTTTGAACTTTTCATCATCAACAGAGTAGGGAGTGCACAGGAATATAAATTCCATCATGTTTCGCTCCCTGTCTCATCACTTGAATGATGAGGGTTTCACTTTCAATAGCGTTCCGGATATTATATTCCTGTCAGGGTACGTATTTATTCGTGTTTTTCAGGGTAACGAATATTCGNAAGCAAAATTCATTGTTAAAATTGAATTGAGCAAAAAAGTTGGTACAGCACTTGTGAATTTCATTAATTTGAAGGTGTATGCTGAATTAAAAGATCTTGAAAAATGGGAAAAAGAGAACAAGGAGAAACTAGCAAAACTCAATAAAACTATGGAAAATTAGTTTGTCAAAAATTGGAAAACAATTTAAATGGAAATTGAATTCTTGATAATAAAAATGAATGACGTTGAATCACCCAAACCTTTATTAATTGGAAAAATCAAAAGCTTTTTAAGAACTTATGCTAAGGGATGACTGAGTTTGAATAAAAGAAGAATGAAGGGGATGAGTTATTTAGTTAGTTTTATCTCAACTTATTTTATTAAGTTCTTGCTAACGTTTCGTTTACAGATTGTAAATGATGATGCTAGCGTTTATTTCGAAAAGCGATAAGAATAAGTTGTTTAAGAATTATATTGGTTTAAATTTGATTGAATTTGTTGTTTCCTACAATCAACAACCATTTCCTTCGATTAAGTATTTATTCCTTCATTAAACTATGTGCAAGCTTTTAAGATTTATTATTCGGTTGAAATTTTTTTTAAATTAGATCGTGTTGATTTATATGGTGACATCACATTTCATGACATTCATAGTTGCGAGGTCTTTCATAGTAACTACCATGAAATTGGAAACTTTTCTCGTTACAGTTTTTATTTTGATCTTCGTCAAATGTTCTGACCAAGCAGTTAAATTTTTTAATTCTCTTGGCTTACATATAATTAAAATTTCTTATTTTATTATTCACAGAATCCCATGAAAATAATTGTTAGCAAAGTGGAAGAAACTCATAACGAGTATATGCTTGACTTCAAACATTCTCTAAGAATTACCGAAAATTTCACAAGTTATATCAGCATTAATGTCTCATTGTTTGTGAAAATAGACTCGATGTACTTCTATTATTCGATTGATCTTCCTAATTCCAGTGGAAAAATGGTTCCTTTTATCAGGAGAACTGGAATGAACTTGTGCAACTTTTTTAAGGATCAAAAAAGAAAAAATAAATTATTGCAATCATTTTTTAAGAACAATAATTCAACCGAAAAACGAATTATGGAGTCATGTCCAGTTGAACCAGGATTTTATTTCATCAAAGATTACAATGTCGTTGAAAGATTGATGCCATACGCAATAGCAGAAACCAAAATTGTTATTGTAGCAGAAGTAAAAACAAAAATTATTGGGAAAATGGTTGATTTAGGCAATTTGAAAATTCACTATGAAATTAAAACTCTTGAAAAATTGGAAAGAGAAAGAAAAAGACAAAAATAAGTTTAACCATTGAAAAAGTTGATTTCAATTTATCAAGAATTTTTAATCCGAAATTTTGTTAAAATTGACTTTGCCTTCAGTATTTCCAGCTCAAATTTTCAACCGAATAATAATTTTAAAAGCTTGCACATAGTTTAATGAAGNTGACATTCATAGTTGCGAAGACTTTCATAGTAACAACCATGAAATTGAAAACTTTGCTGGTTACAATTTTAGTTTTGATCTTCGTCAAATATTCTGACCAAGCAGTTAAATTTTTGAATTGTGTTATCTTAATTGTAAATTACAATTTCTTTTTTTATTGTTCACAGAATCCCTTTAAAATAAGAGTTAACAAAGTGGAAGAAACTCATAACGAGTATATGCTTGACTTCAAACATTCTCTAAGAATTACTCAAAATTTCACAAGTTATATCAGCTTTAACTTGACATTGCTTGTGAAATTAGACTCGATGTACTTCTATTATTCGATTTTTCTCCCTAATTCCAATGGAAAAATGGTTCCTTTTAGTAAAAGAACTGGAATGAACTTGTGCAACTTTTTTAAAGATCAAAAGAGAAAAACTAAATTATTGCAATCATTTTTCAAGAACAATAATTCAAGCTCAAAACGAGTTATGGAGTCATGTCCAGTCGAACCAGGATTTTATTTCATCAAAGATTACAATGTCGTTGAAAGATTGATGCCATACGCAATAACCGAAATCAAAATTGTTATTGTAGCCGAAATAAAAACAAAGATCAAAGGGGAAATGGTTAATTTAGGCACTTTGAAGATTCATTATGAAGTTGAAGCTCTTGAAATAGTAAACATTGAATGAGGAGAAGTTAATTTTAATTT